TTTGACATGAAGGGTGAAACAAAGCAAAAGAGGGTAGCATGAAAGAACAAAAAAAAAATGCTTGGACTTCTTTTCTTTAATATAACTCATTCATGTTTTAGAGGCTGTTTCAAGAATCAGTGAAAAACCATGAAAATGGGGGTTGGGAGAGGAAGAGCATTTTTGGTGAGCCACTTAAAAGCATTCAATAACTAATTTATTCTTACAGAGTTGTTTAAATAGGGCCTAAGAGCTTAATAATATCAATACAATGTTGAGTACATCTAGTAGGAAAAGCCCAGACAGCAAAAATGCAATACAGACAAATAAGGATGGGTGTTGAATGAAAATATTGCACTTTAAACTGCTAATATAATATCATTTGCCTTTGACAGAAATTGCTATAAAACGTGCAGACAAAACACTGTTCTAGTTCTACTAATATTTTAATTGATTCCTCATTCTCAGAGATGTGTTGTAATCACTAATCTTCCTAATGTATTAGCTTCACTAAGCCTTATTCGTCCTCATTTATTCATAAAGGGAGGATGAAATCAGCCATCATTCCCCAAAGTACAAGTCAGAACTCTGCACTCGGATGCCACGTAGGAGTTGCACGCACTGCTCTGATGTCAAAGCCTGGCCCAAGAGAACTCTTTTCTCTCAGGCCAAAACCATAATACTGTTAATTAATAATAATTATAAAGCTAGAATGTTCCTATGATGAAACATATAAAAGCTATAGAGATACAGAAGTTTGATCCATATAATTTATGCATTCCTGCTAGTCTTAAAACAAGGGATGAACAGATCTCCCATGTCCTTTTTATTCCATGGCTTTACTCTATCCTGTAATCCATTCTCCTTGCCTTCTGCTTAGGCTTGGAGAATTTTGAAAATTAACTTTTAAACTGGCAGAGATGCAGATTGCTGCAGCGTTTAGTCCAAATTGTTTTGTTTTCTACCAGCATATGAGCTTCCTAACAACCATGGATTGAAACCTCAGAAGAAAATGAACCTTGATGCAATAGCATTGCCACGTCAACATCCCCCACAACCCATGACTCAGTCAATGCAATGTATTAATGCATGCAGTTCTGGTTGTTATGTTTGGCCCCATACTTTTTAAATTGAAGCGCTTGAGCACACAGGTGCCTTAAATACAGTTCAAATCAGCCCCATATAAAAAGAAATCTTTGTTTATATGGATTGATGACATGAATACATGAGGAAGTCTGTATATACTGTAATCCAATCAGTGCAGATAATGTGCTGATGGAGGGAAAATGGAACCCTAATGGAGTTGCACCATTGCTTCAAGCATTCTTCTTTTTTTTGCATTGTTTTAAGAAAGGCACATAGGAATGCGGTGGCGCTGCAGGTTAAACCACAGAAGCCTGTGCTGCAGGGTCAGAAGACCAGCAGTCGTAAGATCGAATCCACGCAACGGAGTGAGCTCCCTTTGCTTTGTCCCAGCTCCTGCCAACCTAGCAGTTCGAAAGCATGTAAATGCGAGTAGAGAAATAGGCACCACCTCGGTGGGAAGGTAAAATGACATTCCCTAGTCACGCTCGCCACGTGACAATGGAAACTGTCTTTGGACAAGCACTGGCTCCACGGCTTGAAAACGGGATGAGCACTGCCCCCTAGAGTCGGACACGACTGGACTAAAAATGTCAAGGGGAACCTTTACCTTTTTAAAAAAGGCACACTCTTGCACACAGCCACAAAGACACATCATTCTATGTATTTGTAGTTTTTAAGAGTGGCTGTGCCAAAATATGCACCCACAATGATCTAGGTCAGTTTTTAACCTTGAGTCGATGATGAATCATTCAGGAAACAACACATCCAAGCCTCAGATAAATAAAAACATAACAATGGCAATCCAGACAACCCAACCGTTCTGATATACTGGAATATTTACAATATATGCACATGATAGAAGCCGTGCATATGTTTAAGGAGATGCTTGTACATGATGGCCACTCAGCCAACTCTTTAAAGCTAAGCATAGTTCCAGATTCGCAGATCCTTTTGTATGGAACCCATTTGTCCCTTAGCATGGTTGCTGTTATAGTGAGACCTCCACTCTTTTTGTCTCTGGAAGCTCCCCCAGATGGCTTTACCACCAGATAGACAGAAGTGAGACAGCAGTCTCGGGCAGCAAATCCCTTTGTGTGTGTTCGTGTGTGCGTGCAGGGCATAGTCGTAAAATACCGTTGGTGGGCAGGCAATAGAAACATCCTACACAAAATATAGGTACCGTGTGAGAGAAATGGTATAGCTCTTTTTCTTGCTCTGTTTGGAGGCAGGAAATCCCACAGAGATTTATCAGTGAAATGTGTCACTCTGATGGGAATATAACCATAAAATCAGTAATCTCAACTGGGTTTGTTCTCATGCATGGGCACCATTTCCATCCTTGGGAATTTCACTCTTCTTTGAAGCCCATTCTTCAGGTTTATTTTCAGTCAGTATCTGTGCTTGACATCATTCTTCTCTGTGTACCTAGTTTTGCTCTTAATGTTATTGAGGCCGAGGTGTTTTGACTTCCAAATATTCAAATACTCTTGAAATGATGGTGAGGACTTCAGTGAATGTTGCTTATATTATGAAGGTAGTGTAGTGATACTTTCCTCAGGGAATACATTCAGGAGGTATGGGCTTCTGGGGAGTTTTCTCTCATGTTAAAAGTTGGATTTCCTCTAGAGCAATTAATGGGATCATGGCTTTTGTCATACTTATAGCAAACCCACTTAATTCAACAGGGCATAAGCTGGGATGTAAATCTCCACTTGCTTGGTCCTTGAAGGCAAGGACAAGAAATGGCAACATTTTCCTACTTGCCAGCAAGGAAGATGAGCAATCTCCTGGTGTCTTCTATAGGGTTCCTGCATTTTGTGCAAAATGGCACAGTTTGCACAATTCAAGCAACTGTGTGAAGTAATGCAAGCAGAGTGATGGTGGCTTTGTGATGTATTTGAAGCAGTAGATGGTACATAGTATATTATATAGCAAACAGCCAGTTCTCCTATGCGTGCTGTGTGTGCCTCTGTTTTGCTTCTTGAACAACATATAGGTACCTGCAGAGGGGGAAGGAATAGCTCTTTTTCTTGCTCTGTTTGGAGGCAAGAGGTCTCACATAGACTCATCGTGGAGATTTCCAACGGTGTTGACACAGCCAAAATGCCCAAGAACACAGGATTTAATGGATTTTTTTTTTCAATTTCTAGACTTACAATAGTTTTAGTTAATAGGCTTTCAAACAGCATTTTCCTTGTACAAATGGAAACTCATGTTCCAAATGTGGAAGATAATGATGATGATGGAAGTAGCAAGAATTGTGTGCTCCCCCTCCTCATACATTTATTAAGCATACAATGGAATGCCTGAGTAGGATCGATCTCTGAATTGAATCCAATGTATTATGCATGTGTCTTTTGCACCCTCTGATAGTAACTGACCTGTTCCCTAGGCAAAACAGCTCCTAAAATTAAAGCATAAGAATGGTAAACTTGCAGAGACTTGAGGAATTTTAAATTATTAGGCAAGGTTGAAAAATGAAAAAGCACCAAGCTGCACAGGGACTGAGTTACAAGAATCCATTTGGGCAACTGCTTACATCTACCTTACAGTCTGGTTGTAGTGGAATATTTTGAATGAAATGCTTCTCAACATATCCATGCTGGCCATTGCCCCTGTTGGCTGAGGAGTTTTGCAGACTGAAAAGTAACTTTTTCAAGGTATGGTAAGCATGTTCTCTCCCTCTCCCTCTCCCTCTCCCTCTCCCTCTCCCTCTCCCTCTCTCTCTCTCTCTCTCACACACACACACACACACACACACACACACACAGAGAGAGAGAGAGAGAGAGAGAGAGCTACCACAGCGTCCTGAAATGGCCCACTCCAGGCCCCTGGCATTCAAATGACATCATATCCTATGGCAAAGTCCCTATTACTAAGACAGCACTAGCTCTAGTCATTAATCAAAGTTTTCCAAGTGGACTGGAATGTCACCAGATTGTCCATGCCGGTTCGAAATGATGGAGCAGCAGATTGAAAAACATCAAGGTTGGGGGAAACTGCTATGAGGCAGATGTTTCTAACTGCCACATGCTTATTCCACTAGATTTGTTTGAAAAATTGTATGGTGAAATAGGGGGGAAAATTATTCACTGGTATGAAGTTCATCCCATACTGGCATACATAAAGCAGTGACAGGTAAAGATCGTGTTACCAAACACCTCTTCTAAAAAAGAAAAATTGAAAGGGAAAGAAATCTGACATCAAATTTGATTTACCCTGAACACTGGTGAAAATCCCTGCCTTTTAACAAAAAATTAAGAGCATATGTTTCTGAATTCAGTCCTAATTTGCAAGGAATTGCTTCAGTAAAGCCACTTGTATCAGTATTGTTAATCTTAATGGGTTCAAGTGACCCATGTTCTAATAATCCAGACCATCAGTGGAGTGCAAATTTCTTTTTCTAATTAAAAATGTTTGACCACAAGAGGGAGTTCCTTGCCAACTGTTTACCTGTCATGAAAGAAAAGTGTACAAAGCAGTAGCTTGAATTCAGAAAGAAGAGACATCCCCAGTTGTTATTTCCATATGTTTCCAAGATAAGATATAACTGCTTTTAAATTACCTGTTTGTTTTGGCAAGTATAGGACAAGGTAACTTGACCTGGTAGAGTTATTTTTTTTCTGGACGCAAATAGGTGGCTCAGCATTTACCAGAAAAATGACAAGGACGAACAAAATGTTACAGTGTTGAATGCTGTTGCTCAGGGTCGGATCCACTCTGTTCCTTCTTTCTCTCTCCTTGTATCCATATGGTACCTGTCCCCCATTCAGTGTGTTGAATTACAATTTTATGCCCACTGAACATATAGAGACCTCATTAGAGTCTTAGGAGAATGTCTCTTCCTGGACACTTTCCTTTTAAAAAATAAAATTTAAAAAATCTGCATGTCTTGGAGTTCAATCTGTTAACCAATGCCTTTCTTGTACTTCTAGGTGGTTCCCTTGCCTGTAACTGGTATGGCGCATGGAGAACTGAGGTTACTGTTATATGATGAACTGAATTCTGCAGAAACAAGGTTCTGGGTTGAATATTATTTTTATGGGGTCCCCAAAATTTACAGACGAAGCCAGCTTTTTAGTTCCTCAGAACTCTTTCCTCCAGCAAAGGTGGTATAAATTTTGGAGGTAAAGGAGGAAGCAGACAATCCAGAAAACTGAGCCATGTGTGCTACTTATTGTTCCTGAACGTAGACGGCAGGCAAAACAAATCTCTGTTCTGTGTGGAAAGGCTGCCTAGGTAGCACTAACACAAGCACTAAATGAAAGGTCATCTCAAAAAGGACTCAAAAACTGGGAACGATTTTATAGCTGGACTCGAAATGCAGATTGGAAGAAGAATGTGAAGATCCAACTAGGGAATGGAGAGATTAATAACTATAACAATTCTGGTAATTTTGCCTTTTTATTGTATTTTAAATGCTGTAAGCCACCCAGAGACCTTCGGGTAGTGTGGGCGGCATATAAGTTAAATAAATAAATAATAAATAAATAAATAAATAAATGAATGAATGAATGAATGAATGAATGAATGAATGAATGAATAAAACTTGTTAAATTGTTTGTTATCTACCTCTTTTAGCATAATTGTACAAGTCGATGTAAACGTACTCTCTCACTCTCTGGACGTTTACCTTTTCCCCACCCATATCTATTCCCCCTGCCCCCCATCCCCCTACTCCCAATCCTATTCCTGTTGAAAAAGAATTTATTTTTATTTTTTTTAAAAGAAGGGCTGCCTAAGTAAAGGTCTTCTCTGTAGCCCATCATCTTCACATGAAGAGTGATGACAGACCAGGCACAGGAAAACTGTTCCTTTTCCTTGAGCACTGTTAACCCTGTTCTTCACATCTGAATAAGACCTATGATGGCCACAACACAGAAAACCAAAATGAAGCCATGCGGGTGGAAGGAGAAGCACTGCCAATATAGTGAGACCTCAATGGCAAGGTTCATAAGGGGCAGGAGGCTGATTTTGCTTTCACCCCAAGAATCATAGAAAGATTGGCTGTCATTGGCGATGTGTGAAAAACTGAAACACTTCACTGAGAAATGCTGTTCGGGAGAGAGGAAACACGCACTCCATTCCTAATCCTAATAAGGTGAGGTGAAGTGGGGCATCCTTGACCCACAGAGTTCCTGCAGGGAAATTCAGTTGATTCACTATCCTAGCTCGGGCTGTCCTTGCAGGCTCTGAGCTCACTCTCCCCATAATGGTAGGCATTTTGCTAGTTTATAATAAAAGCATCCATTTGTACTCAGTAGTACCTTCCTGGAACCAATCGTAAATCTTTTCTTTTATTGTTAAGTGTGTCACCCGATTACTCCATTCTTTTGCAATTTTTTAAGATATGAAATTTCCTCTCTATATTGCCAGCTAGACATTTACATTACTCTGAACAGATGTGTCATATTAGAATTGTATTATAATGTAGCTTTAAAGCATTGCATTACCATGGTGATTTTATCACAAGTGTTATTCGTCTAATAATTGGACAGATTTTGTAACTTGTGGACAATTTTCAGACAGTATGATTTTTTTTTTTTAAAAAAAACTCTTTTTAATGGCCCTTATGCTGTGATCCCAAGAACATTTACTTAGAAGTAACTTTCACTTAAATCCATGAAATGTCCTTACTTGTAACTGTGTTGAATGGAGTTCCAGTTCTTTTGTTTCCAAGGCAGACTTACTATTCATTTTTACATGAATCTTTCAGTCTTGCTGTACTATTTATGCATATACATGATGTGCTCCTAGAGAAGAATATTCAAACACTTTGAAATAGATTTCCCCAGTCTGTTTCAAACTGTATCTGACATGTTGTATCAGATGGAATCATAATTTCAAACTATTTTCTCCTAATTTAATTAAGACATGACAAACAAAAGAACTAACCTCCTTAAAAGATGCCAGAAATCCTTATATTTTCCCAAGAATGTTCAATCTATATGTTCAGTGGAAGAATTCAGGGCTTGTGCATACTAGCCAATATAAAGGTAAACTGTCTTACATCCAGGATATGTTCCTTAAGTCTATAGAACTGTGTATTGAATGGTGGCTGATGCCTAAATCGCTGAGGGGACAGAGAGCAAGACCACTGAAGGAAGAGTCTAAGATAGATACCTGAGGTGGAATAAAAAGAGGTGTGACTAGAGGCAAAATTTCTAGTCACTCACCTTCCTATTTTGTCAAGACCCAAGACATTAAGCAAATCACTATGAAGATTTAGAATGTAAGCAAAATGAAGAACATCATCTTAGTTGCTCTCTCTTGCTTTAATAAGAATGGTCCTGTGGCCCCTTCACGGAAATGAGGGGTTGCCACTTTCATATAACCCTGCCCTATGAACTGAGTCCAATATAACACTTGATCAAAGCGAAACTGATATCATATTTGAATTTAAGGCCAAGGAGCAAGCTGGACCATAAAGAAGGCTGATTGCCGAAGAATTGATGTCTTTGAATTGTGGTGCTGGAGGAGACTCTTGAGAGTCCCCTGGACTGCAAGGAGAACAAACCTATCCATTCTGAAGGAAATCAACCCTGAGTGCTCACTGGAAGGACAGATCCTGAAGCTGAGGCTCCAGTACTTTGGCCATCTCATGAGAAGACACGACTCCCTGGAAAAGACCCTAATTTTGGGAAAGAGTGAAGGCAAGAGGAGAAGGGGACCATAGAGGATGAGATGGTTGGACAGTGTCATCGAAGTTACCAAAAGGAATTTGACCAAACTCTGTGAGGCAGTGGAAGACAGGAGGGCCTGGCATGCTCTGGTCACGAAGAGTCAGACACAACTTAATGACTAAACAACAACAACCAGACAGAAAAGTAAAAGCAAGGATGGAGAACTGAACTTCAGGAAACAAGGTCAATTCAATGCTTGACCAAAGTGCTTTGGAATCTTAAAACAAAGGAGCCCATGTGAAGGAAGGGCAATCCGAGCACAGCACCATCCAAGAACTGAAATCCTATCGGCATAACTATGCTTGCAGAAGGCTGATGCTGACATCAGCATGGATGATTTTTGGAAGGTGAGCATTTCCTACATCTGTCCTGCGGCTCCCATTGCACCTATGCAATCCCTTGCACCACATGGAAGCCATGGGCACTGTGGGTCAGGTGCAGGACTCAGAGATTGCAGTAGGTGCAGAATGCAGCAGCCAGCATGGTGTCAGGCATGAACAAGTCTGATCACATCTCACCAGTTCTGGTTCACCCTGCTGCATTCTGGGCCAGGTTCCAGGTTTTAGTATTCTTTTTCTAAAGCCATGAGCAGGTTGGGGCCTTGTTATTTCTCAGAGCATCTTTCCCTGAGAAAATCAGCCCATATCACCCGGTCCTCACAGGCTTCACTTCTTTGGGTTGCCATGCCGAAAGAGGCAAAAAAGTGTGTAACGAGAAATCATGCCTTCTTGATTGTGGCCCCTTTCCTTTGAAATAGGCTCCCAATAGAAGTTTGTCACCCCCTACTATCTTTTAAGAGGGCACTGAAGATGGACCTCTTTCAAGAGGTGGTTCAGTAATATTTTCCCATAAGCCTAGAGCTTTTTTTGTTTCTGCCATTCTTTGGGATTTGGGGATTTTAAATTGTTGGAATACATCTCAGTCATTGATGTGCGGAGTGGGTGAGGGGTGGGTTGGTTTTGATTTGTTCTTGTTGTTTATTGTTTTCTATTTTGTTTGTTGACTGTTCAAAGTAGTGCCCTGCACTAAGTCAGTGGTATAGAAACGTATTAAACAAACAAACAAACGAATGAATGAATGAATAAAGAAAGAAATAAAGAAATAAAGAAATAAAGAAATAAAGAAATAAAGAAATAAATTCTGGAAAGCAAGACAAATTTACATTTATATCCCATTCTCCAAGAAACTCAAAATGTCACATATGGCCCTTCTCTCTACTTTGTCTTCATAATTGCCTGATGAGATAGGCCAGGCCAATGAAATCATGGCCCAAGGCAGAGGGGGATTTGAATTTAGCCCTAATCCAACAATCTAAGAACCAAAGTGCTGAAGAACCGTGAGATCCAGGAGACAAGATGGGTGACAGAAAGGGGGACCTCAGCACAATACCATTCAGATTATGGATGCCCTCCTACATACTCTATCAGGATCAGCAGAAACAGTCACGAGGAGACACATTTTCCACAATAAAATATAGCTAACCTCTCACACTTCCTTCCTTCCTTTCTCTCTCAAACACATCCAGGTACAGATATGCTCATTCTGACGAACCAATGCCTCTCTTTTTCAGCTTAAATGTAGGAGGGAGGGCAAGTATTAGAGTTCACAAATGCATCTGCTGCAGCTACTGTTCTCCCATTTTCTGTCAGAAAGATGAAGTGTGATATCTGGTTTCCCTGAACACTGGAACTGTGAGAGTGCAAGACTCTAATTTAAAAAAAAAATAACTGCAAAGCCTATTGCCTTCAAGATTTCCATGCTTTAACACTGTCCTTTAAATTTCCTTTTTTCATTTATTTATCCTTACTTGTTTAACTATTTATGTATGGTCTTTTGCCCTATGTAAGGTCTTCGGGGAGGGACGCATAATACAACCACACTTGGTATCAGTCAGGCTAGTGGTGTAATGGAACCAGGACTCACAGGGTCGAAATTCCTGGACTTTCTGAGTAACAGGCTCATCAGCATTATCTCCTTCTACTCACCACCCCAGGCTGACTTGTTCTTTCTGAACCTAGCTGCAATCTTCACAGTACCTAACAAAGAAATGGATTTTCCAAGGAAGAGTATATTGGTGCAAGCTATCCCTGTAGTAACACAAAGCATCTGAAGAGAGTTTGGATGTGAGTGGGTAGTTAAGAGCTATTTGCTTTACTAAAGACATGTGTGTCATTTATTGACATGGTCAGATCTAATATTTCCAACTCTCCTGTGGTGGTGGTGGTGGGGAGTGCTGGCTATGTGGACTGTCATGTTGAGCAATTGCACCTAAGAGATTTGCCACTGTATTACTGAATGGGAAAGCTGCTTCCAGCCACTCTAATAGCTGCCTGTTTTCTTAGAATGCGCACACTCAGGAGGAGCCAGCTGGCTGCTGTTCTGAGCATGCTCACAGAGTGTCAATGCACACAGAAGTTTTGAGAAAGGGGAGAATGAATGTGGGAGTCAAGTTGCTGAAGAGGGCTCAAGGACTTTTTAGCAACACAGTAGGTGTCCTCAGAAGTCTTCCGAACACAGGGAAATGGATATAGAGCTACCAGAGAAGAATTAAGCCCTTTGTTATAGAGCAGCAATGTTGTAGGAATTACATTGGGAAGATTGAGGGTTGAAGAAGCCAGGCCTATGCATGGAATACTGCACTAGAAGTATTTATTATTTATTTATTAAGCAAAGGATCCACCACCAAATGCATCTGTTTTATTCTTCTTCCAAAAGTATTTAACTAGTTTGTTAATTGATCTTGGATCCGACCTCAGATCCTCTCCCTCGCACCCACCTCCTAAAGAAACTACGTACTGCTGTTGTCATCTCTCTCAATAACTGTCATATTGGTGAGAGAAGGGAGGGTAGAGGTTGTAGACCAGTAGACCTGCTGTAACTGCAGGATCCAATTCCCTCAAATCACTTTAAAGAGTAATGCTACTTCCCTTACCAAGCAGTGCTTCAAATTTGTAATTTCAGAGAATTGACCCATACAGTTGTTTCTTTGGAATCAGAGATGGAAGGATCTAAAATCAGAGTTCTGTCCCCACACTCAGAGGTGTGTGTGTGACCCCAACAATTCTATGGATCATAGGATTTTACTGCTAGGGAAGCATCCAAAGCAGCAATCCATTTTAAGCTGCTTTCCCCTCCCATTTCTTTGTGGCCATCAGAAAAAAAATATTTTCTCTTTCAGTGTGTCAGAAAAAGTAGATTATTATTATTCTGAAAAGAGTGCTATAGAAAATAGCATTTTAGAATTAATATTTTTTTTTAAAAAAAATACATTACAAAACTCCAAAGATGTTCCAAGGCAGGGCTGGATCCAAGTTAGCACTGGCGGAGTGAAAAGCCCTCTCCTGGATCATCTCCTTTCTCTTGTGTGCATGCTGGCAGCTGCATCTTGTTGTCACAGCCAGACCGGATGGTTTCCCTTTTTGCAGAAGAGCCAGCTGTTTCTAAGCAGGACCAGCACTTAAAAACATGGCAGCCACTTAGAGCAGCTGGCACTTTTGTCAAGAGGGAGACTGGCCAGGCAGTGAGAACAAGAGGCGGCTGCCAGAGCAAAGGGGGGAAGGGAGGGCAAGGCAGGGAAGAGAGCTAGGGAGGGAGGAACCACCAGCCCAAGAAGCTACAGGACCCTTCCTCCTGTAAGTTAGGCAACCTCTGAGCATGTACTGCCTCTCTCTCCCTCAGCCCTTTATATAACATACCGTTAACCTCTGAAGAGGTTTTGAAGTGTTCCCATTTCAATTGTATTTTAACAGTATAATGTCCAAAATCCTGTTTGCGTAACTACGCAGTAGAAGCCGATGATATCATCAGCCCATAAAAATTAGTTAAAACTAATTAAATGCTTCTTATCCCCTGTTTTAGGTTTCTGAGGCTCCCTAGGCTTTGCTTTAGGAAGTCTCGGGAGCAGGCGGGAGAGGGGAGGTTTTAAAAGTCAAAAATCATTGCTAGATCTCCACCAGCAGTCCTGGCCCCAATGGCAGTGAATGAAGACTTGGCTCTTCTGCCAGGCTTTCTCTGCTCATTAGGTTACTAAGATCTCTGCCTCCCTTTTACCATCCTTTTTTTTTTGCCATCCTTTTCATCATCCTTTTACCACCTTCACTGCCATCTGTTTTAATTTATCTTGCTGGTTATTATATTTGTTTGAATGTATGTATTATTTTATTTGTTTATCGTGTCTCGATATTATGCTGTTTATTTTGTTGTTAGCCGCCCAGATGATTGAATGCATCACCCGCCCCCATGTAGAGGCTTCCAAAGTGTTTTTCCAGAGCTAAAGGGAGCAGTCACAGAGAGCTTCAGACAATAAAATGGGGGAATGGGACACATTTAATTAATTCAGCTTCCGTTTTACCAATGGATCCAGGCCTGGATGTGGAGCCACACTGGGAGCTTTTCAAAGTTTTTTTTTGGGGGGGGGTTAAAATATTGCTTTTAAAACAATGTTAGTATTCTGCAGAGAGTTGTGTGAGTTGGATTTTGGCCAGTGAGTTTTGTTCTATTTCAATACTTGTAATTTATTGTGTTTAATTACATATATATTTAGCTATATTGTAAAGAGCCTTGGGTTCCAAGAAGAAAGATAGCATATAAATAAAAAATGAAGTGAGTTTGCAATAGCTGTGACTGCTCAAACAACCATAAGCTGTGCCAACATGCTTCTAGTATTGGACCCAGGCCATGGGTTGTCATGTTCATTACTGTGCATCATAAATGGAAACGTGCAGGGGCCTAGACATTGTTGTCATCCATTTCTAAACCATATTTATTTACCTCTTCTTCCATCTTTTTTCTTAGCCACAGAAAATCTGTTTAAGGAAGTCAAAATGGAGCACCCTCACAATCACTTCTGATTAGCACGAGATGTTGCCTGTGGTCTGAAAGCCCCACTAGACCCAGCCTTCAAAAGATGTAGCTCAAGACTTCCCAGTGGCTCTGAGATACAAATAAAGATATGCACAGTGAAATTTTTCATTTTATGTTCATTTCATCTTCTTTTGAGGTGGTTGTGGGCAGCTCTTTCAGATGATTCACTTGCCATTCCATTCATCAAACACAGAAGAAGGCTGGAAGGGTGACAGAATGAAGAGGCAGATGAGGAGAGGAGACAGGCCTCTGAGAAGAAGCAGAGAGACAGGGAAAGAGGTACACACCTAACAGTAAGGAAGCAGCGTCACCAGTAATACCATGGCAATTGCCACCCTTACCAACCAAGTATAATTTCAGCTGTGGAAATTGTACCAGCTAGGGCCCTACCTGGACGAGCGGAGTCTCATGACAGTTACACACACACTGGTAACATCTCGCATAGATTACTGCAATGTGCTCTATGCGGAGCTGCCTTTGAAGACAGCCCGGCAACTGCAACTGGTCCAGAATCGAGCTGTGCGGCTGGTGAGTGGTGGGGCCGCTAGGGAACATATCAAGCCAATTCTGTTTAAATTACATTGGTTGCCAGTTGCCCAATTCAAAGTGCTTGTTCTGACATATAAAGCCCTAAACGGCTTGGGCCCTGGATACCTGAAGGACCGCCTCCTTCCATATGAACCTACTGGGCAGTTAAGATCTAGCCAGGGGGCCCTTTTGAAAGATCCGTCCCTTAAGGAGGTAAGAGGGACGGCTTGTAGAGAAAGGGCCTTTTCGGCAGCTTCCCCCAGACTATGGAATACCCTCCCGACTGAGATTCGACTGGCGCTGACGCGGATGACATTTTGGCACCAGATCAAAACCTTCCTGTTCCAGAAGGCTTTTAATTGGAATAACATCAGCTGTGGGTCCTGATGGTAATTTTTAGAGTAGTATATATTTTAAATGCATTTTAATTGTTCTGAATTTTTATTGTATTTTAAATGCTGTAAGCTGCCCAGAAACCTTTGGGTAGTGTGGGCGGCATATAAGTTAAATAAATAAACAAACAAACAAAGTGGCGCTCTGATAGTGAGTATGCATTATCTGAATGCATTTCCACCATTGACAAAAGCATGTTTAAATAGTGTTTTGTCCACATTTGAAATGTGTGTATTTGTCTCTGGGCACTCTCCAAACCCTCCCTTTTTTTCCAGGGGCACCCGGAACTATCGATCAACAGCAGGATTGTAGATTACAAATGGTATCCATCTGGTAGATGATCCGCAATGTGCAGACCGAGAGAGGGCTGTCAGATCCCAGACTAAAGTTGGATTCCTCCTACATCCGCAGTGTGTGGGCTGTAAAACACAAAATGTATGTGCGTTTGGAATGTTTTTAAAAATAAAGCAGTAGGAGCTTGTCTACTTACTTTGCCTGTACTGATGGGACTGTCTTTTTGCCATTTGTTAAAATCACCCAGGCTGCTAATTTTGTCCATTTGATACCTATGATGAGAACATCTGAAAAGGCTCAGCATGATTTAAAAATATAATTTGGAAGGTGATATATTTTCTCCCTGCACTCTTTAAATGCTATAGTTGCAGTGTCTAGTTCCTTTCATATCCCTTTCTCTCCTAGGCTCTCTTAAACTCTAAATATATATATATAAACAATTCTATGAATAAAATATGCCAAATTGCTTTCCATCTACTCTTGCATTGCTTGTCCTCCCACAAAAGTCTGTTCTTTTCACCAATTTCACTGATAAATCATCACCTCTTTTTTATTTTAACTTTTCAAGCTCTACTTGATGCTCTCCTTTACCCAGTACATCAAACGGAAAAGGCGTAATCATGTTTCGTTTGGACTGCATAAAATTACTTTTGCTAATTTATCTGTCCAGATGCAAAGTTAGAAATGATTTTCATAATGTTAACAAGATTACGATACAATACATCTCAATGGAGTGGGGAAGATGGAGACCATGGGACTCATGTGGGAGCTGAGCCTACTGTCCAGGTGCTGCTACCTGGGTGGACAAACCTCTTGCCATCATCTTCCTCCTTATAGACCATAAGGAGTCAGCACTTCAAATGGAGGACTGCCCTCCTTAGAGAAAGTATGCACACACCTTATGCCTATGATAGTATTTTGCTGCTGGCACGGCAGAATCCAACCCACCAAATGGATGATCTCCCCTTCGTATGGCAGATCTTCCCCAGAATTTGGTTCTTCAGAGGTTTCAGAGGCTGCTGTGTGTAGGGAACGGAAGTTCCATGTGCAAGGTCATCATGATATGTAGGCCATGGTTTTATCACCCTTTCTCTTGGCCATAGAATTAAACTTACAGAATTGGTGTCCAATAAAATGTTTTCTACAGATATTGGATTTAAAACAGGATTGAGTAACTTGAGGTCTTTAAGGTGTTATTGGGCTGCAATTCCCATCAGCCGTAGACAGCATCACCTATATTAAGGACCAATGAGAGTTGTATCTGGTAGCCCACAAATTGCCCATCCATGCTCTAGAACCCTGGTTCTTAACCTTTGTTACTTGGATGTTTGTAGACAGCATCGCCTATATTAATGGCCAATGAGAGTTGCATCTGGTAGCCCACAAGTTTCCCATCCATGCTCTAGAACACTGGTTCTTAACCTTTGTTATTCAGATGTTTTTGGACTGCAACTCCCAGAAGCCTTCACCATCAGCTCTGCTGGCTGAGGTTTCTGGGAGTTGCAGTTCAAAAACACCTGAGTAATAAACATTAAGAACCACTGCTCTAGAAGGCATCTGTTGTTTTAAAGCAACGGCAGCACAAAGATAGAGGAGACGGGGACTGAAAGAAAAACCTCTGGGATAGACAACCTTGATGTTTGTTCAATAAATTTATGTTTGGTCTGACTGAAGGCCTCTCAGCAGCAGTTGCCTATAAGCAAACATATAATCTAAATAGGGTTGCTTCATTGGGAACACCAGGTTTCAAAAGTTGCTTTATTCTTACAATTCAATCGTAGGAAATATCTTTGCGGAGACAATTCTTGAATCCAGGTGAGCTAAGAATGAACATCTTTTGATCCAGATGGTAAATGGCATGTTAATGGTTTGATAGATCCTTTTATCATTGCAATACATGAGTAGGTATGCAAGGGCATGTGTGGAAATGTCCAGGCCAGGCTCCCAGAGGTCACTAGATCCATTTTATCAGCTGTCTCTTTTCCTTTTCCTTGCTTTGCACTATTTCTACAGAACCACAAGCCGCAGCTTATGTACGGGGAGTGGGTTGTAGTGAACTTAGTTTTTATTTCTTAAAACTCAAAAGAATCAATAGTATTAGCAAATCATGAAGTTTTGCAACTCTGAGCAATTACTGAGAGGCATGCTAACCTAAGGCCTTGCACGAACATAAGGATGCCTTCCAAAATAGACTATAGGTATAAAAATGCATGCTTGCATGCCTGTTGTCATGCAAAAAGGAACAAGAAAGTGCTTCCTGCATTTACATTGTCTTTATTAACTTTGTAAAGGTGCCTGGAAGAAAAGACGGATGAGACTGTTGTCCTCCTTGTCATCCACCTTTGTCTTACAGCGTTATACATCACTGTGTCCATACAGAAACTCAATGGATCATGTCTTGCCTTGACATCATTGCTGTACGGCATGCTGATTCCAGCAAGACGTGTCTCCCCCATTTTAAAAGTCCACTTATCTCAAAAGTACACTTTTCCCAAATATTTGATAATTAAAAGTGTGTGATTTTCATTCGAAAGCAATCACACTCTCATTTAACTCTGGGTTTTCATTGTTGTGAAAGATGTCGTAACAAAAAGAACTGTGTGGCTGTGGACCTCAAGGCAGCATTTCTATACTGATAGTAATCCAGATTATTTTAGTGGAGATTGTGCAAGTGGAAAATTGGTACAGATGTGGGAAACATCTGCAACGACACAGCTTCCATCTTGTGCCTCTCCTCTCCAGTCTGGTTATCCACTGTGACAAACAGCATGTTTCTAGTGGTATTGAAAATATGTGGTTTCTAATTTTTTTTTCTACTTATATCCCAGAAAAGTTAGTGACTCCAGAAAATTGCATTTTGAGGTTCGGGATCAGATCCAAGCTGCCCCACGCAATGTATATGCATTCAATACTTCTGCATATTCCAGATTCTGCTATACATTGCATGGTCTCTGGCTCCCTCTAGTGGCCAGTTATGGTAAAAACACCCTGGAAATACATATGAACAGGTATTTCTGAATTTTCTTATTTAGTATCGTCAGTCAGCAGGTAAGTGAATCAGTGGCTATTGATCCCGCAGATAGGGACACCCTACTGTACAGTCTCTGGATATTTACCATTCAGTTCAACATCTTTTCCAGAGAAAGAGCATATGGGTGTTTCAGTTATCACTCTTAAAGCTGTTTCTTGGCTCTGCCTGCCCACTCTAATAATGGAAAGCTCCTTCTGCCCTTGGCAGTCCCCTTCAGACTTTTATTCCCCACTTCATATTTTCATGTTTGCCTTTCTGTTCTGCATTAACTGTTTTCCTGAAGTGTGACCCACCAAACATGTCAGTAGCAATGTTACCTGAGCAACAGCAATTTCTGCTGCTGTTGGCAGGGAGTTTAACGTTAGCATCATAAACAATTGTATCATTGCAATGGAATATATAGAACTGAAAATCAAAATATACAAGACGGCCAACTCTACATTTAGAACCAGTGCTCCCTGAGCTGATGAAAAATATCTATTTACCTCAGCACCAGCTTTTCTCACTCCCACCTTTTGAAAATTAAGTTGCTTTATTTTGTGACTGGTCATCAGGAGGTTAACATAGGCTTCATTTGCAAGTCTAATTCCTTATCCAGGGTATTCTGATGAAATAATTTCCATGCCAGTTTTACATCTCTTTTAAAATCTCAGTTCTTGTATCATAACTCCTTCCACTGCTGCTTAGAAAGTTACTTTTAGGACGAATGAGCAGTGTTAGGATAATCCATTGATGGGCATCATCCCAATGTGTCACCTTATTGCTGCTCATATACAAATGAATTCAGATGCCATTACATTTATTCTTCTTAAAAGTAGCTTCCCAGGCTCTTATCCCACCACCATTCTGAGTCCC